GTTTTTAATTAAGTTCTTTCTAAATTGTGAGTTGTTGGAATTGTGTTCATTAGCTATAGTTATAGTTGCCCCACAAGTAACCTACACTTACACTACACTGCTCCTGACAATTCCCAGTATTTCTAAAGTGTGTGAAAAGTTAAACAAAGATGATAAACTATCACTCTTCATTTCTTCATCTCAGAATAAAAGAAGTCATGTCAGTGTCCAAATAAGCAGGGAAGAGAGTCAGAATATTTGTTGCTGTAGTCTTAGGAAATAGGACAGATCTATAGATAATACTCCTATTAATAATAGAAGATAGAAGCTCCAGAGGTCAAAATGTAAAGATGGTACAGAGTTCTTTCACAATCATATAGGACAAAGTGACCTAAAATCTAATATGACGGCAAAATTAATGCCATGGCAAGAAAGGAAATAAGAAAGTGCAGATAAATTCACTTGAATTTGTGGATCGGAGGAACAGTTAACATTTCCAGTTACTGGGTATAGTATTGGTTCTGGGTTTTGGTGATAAGTACCACCTTATGAATATTTTCATTATGTATTTTTCTTAATTTCTGTTTACTTTAGTATAGAATCTTGTAAAAATTTAAATTGTGGAGGCTGGAAAAATGGCTCAGCGGTTAAGAGCACTGACTGCTCTTGTAGAGGACCCGGGTTCAATTGCCAGCACCCACATGGCAACTTAACCATCCTTAACTCCAGTTCTGGAGGAATCTGAAGCCCTCTTCTGACCTCCACGGCATTGCACGACACGGGTGCACTCACATACATCCAGGCAATACACTCATACACATTTAGAAAAAAAATTTAATTTGCAAGAACAGAGAACAGAGTAAATGAATGTTTTGAGCTTTTTTTTTTTTTGGTCAGAATGATTCCCAGAAGGATCATACCAGTTTATACTCCCACTGCCAGCTTTCTGCACATCTTTATCTGCAGTAGTTCTGCCTCCAGTATGCATTGTCCCCAGGGCCTGAAAGATACTAGACAAGCACCCCACCCTAAGTTGCTGGAGGTAGCATTTTAAAATTTTTGTTTCTGTTCATGAGTAAGACCATCTCAAGGAGACCAAAAAAAAAAAAAAAAAAAAAAAAGTGCCGCTTGTTTATCTTACTGCTAGTGAATGTTTTTGTTTTTTTTTGTCTGTTTGAGACAGGGTCTCCCTGTAGCCCCAGCTGTCCTGGAACTCACTATGTAGACCAGGCTGGCCTTGATCTCAGAGATCTGTCTGCCTCTGCCTCCCAAGTGCTGGGACTAAAGGCATGTGCCGCCACACCCAGCTATGAAATATTTTTAAACTCAATAACTTGTTTAAAGCAAACAATAGGACTAGTCTATAATGTATACATGTAAACAAATGCACAATAATATTTAAAATGAAAAAGAGAAAGGGTAATCCAAAATTTTTTTGTCATGTTTATGTTGTAATTTCCTCAATTTAAGACTTCTCTCTTATTACAATGCGATTTAAAAAAAAATTATATGGGCTGCTTGACGAATTTGTGTGTCCTTGTACAGGGGCCATGCTAATCTCTGCATCACTCCAATTTCAGTATATGTGTGCTGAAGTAAGCACTTATAAAGTGATTGTTATTTAGCTATTTTGAGTTTCTATGTAATCCTTGCTAGATTTTTTTTCCTATTGTTTGCTTGGAAAGTTTTTTTCTAATTCATTTCTCATAATACATTTGACTTCAATATTCAATTTGAGTAATTGGGAATTCATTTTAGTTTTTAGTAAATATTAAGGACATGATTTCATTTTCTTAATCAATACTTTATCATTTTTGGTAATTTTCTACTTGCATATTTTAAAAGTATAAGAGGAAGCATAAAAATTTATGTCATGTTAATTAGTAGAGGTGATAACCATTCCCATTGAAATCTACCCAGTGACTTTATAGACATACACAGGTGCCAAGGAGCCGAGTGCAACCGACTATGACTAGTAATAATCAGATACATACAGATTAGAGATGCATGCGCCAACATCTAAGTGTTATTAGCAAAAACAATGAGTCTTTCTGTAAGAAACAGTATATTTTTAAATGAAATGGAGATCTTTTTTAAAGGTTAAAAACTCATTCAATTTTGTGTCTTACAGGGGTTATACTGAGGTCAATATTGTATAACTGTATTAATTCAACAGCAAACCTAAAAACTTTATAGCCACTTTTGAAAGAGATGTATCTTTGCTCTGGAAACTGTTACTGAATATATTAAAGCTGTATTGAGATGCTTCTAAAAAATTAAAAAAAATAAAAACAGAAATAAGAAATAGTAAAAAAAAAATAAAAAGGTATTTTTGTCTCTCTATTTTAAAAGTTATTTGCTCTGGTACTTAAACTTTTCATCTTTATTTTAGACTAAAGAGAAATTATCGTCTGCTATTACTGACCTCAACATAATAATGGAACCCACAGAATATTCAGAATTAAGTGAATTTGCATGTAGGTAAGCTGAGTTACAAATTTATTATTTTGTGGTTGATTTTTGTTCTATGGGTTTTAAATTGTTCTTCACATTTTTTTTCTCATTTTTACTATACTTTTGGGGGGACTGCTTTATTTTGTTTTTTTAAGTTGAATTTTTGTGTATTTCATACAGAACATCTTAATCAACTTTATACCCCCTTTCCCATTGCCACCACCCATAGCCACCGCCCCCACCAGAATTTATGCATTCTGTCATTTGTGTTAAGGCCTGTCATGTCAAGTTAGTGTCCCCAGACATCCCTCAGTACATGTTCATCCAGTGGGGTCTAGTCGGCCTATCTAGAGTCCTTCTCTTTAAGAAGATCAGCTCTTCCTCACCCAGCAGTAATCAGCTACCAATAATTCTTCAGCCAAGATTGGGCCTGCTGCCCATTTCCACAGTTCTGTGTTGGGTTTTTGTCTGCTTGAGCTTGCATGGGTCTTGTCTAGCATCACTTTCTTAAAGAAGACCAACTCTTCCTCACCCAGCAGTGATCGGCTGCCAATAGTTTCTCTGGTAAGGTTGCAGTCTCTTGTCTGTATCCCCAGTTCTGTGCTGGGTTTTTGTTTGGTTTGAGTTTGCATGGATCTTGTGCATACTGTCACCATTGCTCTTAAGTTCATATGAGCTAGTTCCCAGAAGCCTGAAAACCTGTTTCCTTGTGGTTATGCACCACCCTGGCTCTTACAGTCTTTCTGCCCCCTCTTCTGAAATGGTGCCTGAGCTCTGGATGGGTAAGGAACATGAACTCTGCAGTCTCTTATTTTCTACACTTTGACTAGTTGTGGCCTTCTATGTTAATCGCCCTCTGTTACATAAGGAAGCTTCACTGGTTAGAGTTGAGAGATGTATTAGTAGTCTCTCTACTCCTGTTCCACTATTTTCCATGAGCTTTAGGTATAGAGGTTCCACTGTAGATGTGTCACTTAGGGCAGGGCATCTCACAGACATTTATTTGCTGTGGAAGTCTGTAATAGCCTCCATCTGTTGCAAAAAGAAACTGCATTGATGACTGGTGACAGGTGTACTTGTCTGTAAATATAAAGATCCATATTTAGCATTCAGTAAGCAATTATGTTTGTCTAGGGATGTGACCGACTAGGTTGTCTCTAGGATCTATGACCTCTCCAGCCATGTGTATATGACTATATTTACTGTACCACACATGAGTTCCCTCCTACTGAGCATTTTTTAAGTCCAACTGGATAGCTGTTGATTACTCCCAAGATAAAAGTGCCACTACTACACTGATATAGAGTCATTATTGTGGTTACTAGGATTTAAAGCTGGGGTTGGACTGTTGATTAATTTTCTCCCTTAGCAGCATGCATACTATCCTCAAATTTATTATTTTATGGTCAATTTTTTCTCATGGTCAATTTTTGCTCTACAGATTAAAAATTTTTTTTTACAATTTTTGTCTCTTTTTCACTATACATTTTTGAGATTTGCTTTGTTTTAATTTTTAAATTTTTTAGTTTTATTTTCTGTGTGTGTTTTGCTTGCTTGTATGTAAGTGCACCCTTATGCAATTCTTGTGGAATTCAGAAGAGGGCTTCAGATCTTCTGGAACTGGGGTTAAGGAAACTGAACTCATGTCCTCTGCAAGAGCAGCCAGTGCTCTTAACTACTGATCCATTTCTCCAGCCCTTGTTCTGTTTTCTGAGACAGGGTCTATGTAGCCCTGGCTAGCCTGGAACTTGCTATGTAGACCAGGCTGGCCTTGATTCCTAGAGATCTGTCTGCCTCTTCCTCCTGAGTGCTGAGATTAAAGGTGTGTGCCACCTTGCCCAACTTCACTATACATTTTAAAAAATGTTATGTATATGAGTATTTTGGCTGCATATATGTAAGTGCACCCATGTCATGCAATGGTTAAAGAAGCCAGAAGAGGGAGACATATCCCTTGGAACTGGAATTACAAATGGTTGTTAGCTGCCATGTGGGTGCTGGGAAACAAACCCAGGTCCTCTGCTAGAGCAGCCAGTGGTCTTAATCACTGCCAACTCCAGCCCCTCACTATACAGTTTTATCTGCTCTTTTTCTTAGTAAGTCTGCAAAAGCAGAATGCTATCATCATGATTATATTTGGACAAGTGTTCTTTACCTCTATGATTCTTTTGTTGTTATTGTTGTTCTTTTGAGACAGGGTCTCCCTGTTGCCCCAGCTGTCCTGGAACTCACTATGTAGACCAGGCTGGCCTTGAACTCACAGAGATCTGCCTGCCTCTGCCTCCCGTCTCTGATTCTTTTAAAAAAAATTTTTTTGTTGATGTGTATGAATGTTTTGCCTGCTTGTATGTAAGTGTAGCACATGTGTGCAGTGCCCACAGAAGATAGAAAAAGGTGTCAGATCCCTTGGAACTGGAGTTATGTATGATTGTTAGCTGCCATGTGGATTCTGGCAACTGCTGAACCTGGGTCCTCTGCAAGAACAGCCAGTGCTCTTAACTGTTGAACCATTTCTCCAGCCACCACCTCTGTGATTTTTATTGCATGTTCACTAAGTACTGAGAATTAAAATTAGAATGTGAGCAAATCAGAATATGATCCTTTATCTTTATGGAATTTAGATCCTAATGGAGAAGTCATAAAATAATTTCAGAAATAAAGCTAAAATCATGCTTATGTTAAATGATATATTGGAGAGTTACTTAGTACTATTGAGGCATATATCTGGAATTTAATTGTAAGGGAGACACAAAATGGTTTTCCAAAGCTTAAATGGCATTTGAAAAAAAGTAGGTGAAATGATTAGGTATGAATTAATGAAGAGATTTTGATGGGAGAGGTAGAGGAAAACTAGAAACGTATTGTGTCATGAAGTACTCAAATACTTCCTTTTGTGTACATTATGATTTGGAAATATGTGATATTTGGAAAGTGCAAAAGGAAGAGTAGTATGATATCTGTCTCTCTGAAGTAATGTTGTAATTCCTTAATAGATATTTGAGCTTAGACATTGAATATATCTAGACTGGGTTTCCACTTTTTGGACAGTGACTGCTATTTTTATTTCTTTTTATTTTTGCATATATGAAGTGTGTGTGTGTGTGTGTATGTGTGTGTGTGTGTATGTGTGTGTGTGTGTGTGTGTGTGTGTGTGTGTGTTTACTTTGGGTTTTTAAGGGAGGATCTCACTGTGTAGCCCAGGATAGCTTGGAAGTTGCCAGATATGGGTTCCATCTCATGGAGCAGGCCTTATATCTAGACAGGGGGACAGTTGGTTACTTGCATAACATTCATGCCACTATTGTACAGTAGGTATATCTTGCCAGGCCAGTTGTTATTGTAGGTCTCAGGGTTTGTAGCTGGGTAAGAATGATTACTTTTCACCTCTGGTAGCGTGCATAGTACCTTCCAGCACTATGAAAGTTAGCCGGTAGGGATGAAGTGTCCTGGTTACTAGCCACTCGATTTCTCCACATTTTATGACTCAAGTATGTGTTGTCTTCAACAACGGGGTCTTATCATCAAATTCTGGAGGGCAAACAAGAGCAATTGCAGTAGCCTGTAAAGTTTGGGGCTCTATGGGATCCCATTGGGTGCTGTGTATCAAATCTGGTTTTTCTTCAAGAGTAGCTAGTGCTCTTAACCACTGAACCATCTCTTTATCCCCCTATAAAATTTATTTTTTTAATTTTGTGTTAATGAGTGTTTTGCCTGCATGTAAGTGCATCACATGGTGCAGTGCCCATAGAGTCCAGAAGAGGGCGTTGAATCTCCTGGAACTAGAGACAAATGGTTATCAGCCACTACGGGTGCTGGGAACCAAATCTGGGTCCTCTGCAAGAGCAGTCAGTGTTCTTAGCTGCTGAGCCATTTCTCCTGCTCCCAGTTGAACTTTTTCTATTGATCACAAGTTCATTGGTCCCTTTACTGTGCAACTGGACTTACTATAGAAGTAAACATTACAATTTAGTCATTTTTTTGTTTCCAAATTTCTGTGTAATTTTTTTTACTTTTTATTTCTTAAGCATTGATCTTTTAAAATATTTTATTTATTACTTTTATTTTACATGTATGAGTGTATTGCCTGCATGTATGTAACTGCACCCGTATTGTGCAATGCCACAGAGGTCAGAAGAGGGCTTCAGACTCCCCTGGAACTGGAGTTAAGGACAGTTTGTAGCCACCTTGTGGGTGCTGGGAATTGAACCTGGGTCCTCTGCAAGAGCAGTCATTGCTCTTAACCACTGAGCCATCTCTCCAGCCCCGACCTTTACTTTTAGAAGCATGATTACAATAGCTGTTTTACAGTCTGTCTGGCAATTTCAAGAACTTTTCCTTTCTGAGTTAATGTCTAAGCAATTTTCATTTTCTTTGAAGATTGATAAATTCTTGGTTCTGCATGTGCTGAATTATTTTGAAACAGGTCCTGGATATGATAAACATTATATTGTGAGAGTCTACAACTTGTTTAAATCTGTCATAAAAATGTCAAATTTTTCATACCATTATTCAGTCAACCAGTAGAGTTACACGCTACAGTATCCAAGAGATGTTTGTGTGCTTTGTCTTCTGTGTCAGTTCACTTATCTGTGTGTTTACAGTGATTTTTTTTTTTAGATGAGTCTTTTGTATGTGCCAGTCAGTAGCCAGTATGGGACCTGGGTTGTGGTCTGTCTCAAAGATCAGTTCTTAGAGCCAATGGTGTGCAACTGTTTAGGGTTATTGGTAGACCAGAAGTTTGTATCTTTATGGGATTATTCTTTTGACATTCTTTAGTCTATGATTCTACAAATACCTTTTCTCATTTCTTATAGTTTCCCTTTTTATTTTTTATTTATTTTTTCCTCCAGTCAGCAAGCTGAGGGTTAAGCTTCTCCCTTTGCCAGACACTTATCAGAGCCCATGTCCAGGGCCATATGTTGGGAAGAGAAAGAAAAATGAAATACATGAATTCATTTCACACTTTTAGAACCACAGAGCCTCTGATTTTAGACCGCTCCCGAGAGTTGTAGTTGCCTGCATAGGGC